TATAAAGAGAGAGAGAGAGTTCACTAAACGAATGAAGCACTTCAACCCGAAAAATGATCAGTCAATACACTTTGAAAGTGCACAGCGCAGGATGGATGCAGCCGCAGCCCTCATCAATGCTAGAGTGCTAATTATTAAGTTCGCAGTTCTATACTGCAGATTTAGTATTATTATATTATTATATCTGTCATCAACATTACTGTTTCTGGTGGTGTGAAAACCAAGGAATCACGAGGACAGCCACTGCTTTCTAATGCACTTGGTATTAAACGAACTCTTGCAGTAGAATGCAAGTGCAACGAAGTGAATAGTGCATAGCACTCTTTCCGTATGACCCAAGAAAACGGAGACAAGAGTAAATCGACGATCCGCAGAGTACAAAGTTCCTCTTTAATAGGAGAGAATCTATTGACACGTGAGCTGATTTAAGATCATGCCACACGGTGTGGATCCGGGCAGCTGAATTGTTTCTCCAGTGCTATGTTATTAGCCTTCGAGCTATAGCGTCATGTTGGTACTGGTGAGCTACAATCATTCCATATCATTTTCCATACCATCTTGTTTCCTTTCCCAAAAGGAATGACATTGCGGTGAGTTGAGACCCTGGATGAAGCTTACCATAAAAAGTAACATCACTTGGAAGAATTTACCTTCTTCAGAGTCCACCGACCAAATTTATCTGATGTTGTCATACCCAACAATATCCACCGTATATTGCTACCAAACGGTGTCCCGGGGAAATAAGAGGATACATGATAGAGAAAGGAAATGAATTCAACATCAACAGCGGGAAGACGATACGAACGGTCAACTGTATTGCTATTGTCTAGATTTGTTGGGAACTCACACGATTTTAGGGATGTAAACATTTCATCTACTAAGGTTTCGCTTGTTGGCACACAATCGATTATTATCGGGACAAACACTGGCAACAAGCAGTCCGTTCTGGGGATAAGCGTTTCGAACCTGACTACTGTATACTGTTAAGTAGTGAAGAAATTAATTTGACAATTGAAAATAAATCGGAACTGGGACGCAAGAAGGCAACTACCTCCTAGCTGAATTATTAAGGTACGATTCCACGATATATAAACCATACCGCTCACACTTTGAACTAACCTACATGAACAGCAGTTTAATGGAGAGTAAGGTGGTTTTGTTTACAGGGCTCAATCTAATATCAAGAGCGAAACTGATGGATCGGTGCAGTTGGCGTTACGTTGCCATTAGCTAT